CGGGGTGGGGCAGGTTGGGGGCGTTAATTATATTTACTCTGGAAACTGTAATGGCAACAAAGGCTGGTTCCTGCCCAAACTTTTCTTGCCCTCTGAGTATTGGCACGGAAGGGAAGGTGAGTGAGGTTCCCCCACACCCCCCACAAGACAACTCGATTTTATCATCTATTCAAATAACTGAGCCAATCCAAATTTGAAAGACAGAGACTTTACATCGAGTTTTCGTAGCTTTGAACTGCTGAGACACTAAGCTTCAAATTTCTTGTGACTTTCAATGCCTCCAGCGTACACATGTACATAGGATATTTTTATAACTTCCCTGATGAGTCACTTAATATTAGTAGTGGTTAAAGCCAGAGCCCGTGCTTGGCCACAGCAGCTGCCAGTATCTCTGCTCCGTCTCGCTTTTGCACTTGGAAAGAAAGCAACAGCTGGATTGAGTTCTAGCTTTCACTTGTCATCCCCTCATCTTTTGGGATTCATTCCTCAGCACACGCTAGCCTTTTTTTACCCTTTTTTCTTGATTTGCTTTTATTTGTTTTGTTCTGGACTCCCTCTCCCTCCTTTTTATTTTTTTTTTAATGTCATTTGCAGTGATATACTGGCCCAACTAACTTTGAATTGCACTTTTTAATAAATATTTGTAATAGCTTTTTAAAGAAGGGTATTTTCTCATGTTTAAGATCATGCTAGAAAAGGCAATCTGCCTGTCAATGAAAGTGAAAAGCAGATTTATAAAACTAAAAGGGTGGTTGACATCCGTGTTTACATTCAGCTCTATTTGAAATATAATTGATAAGTTATTTCTTTTCAAATTGGGGGGGGGGAAGTGATTACAAAGGGCTTCCGATTTCGGGTACTAGATTATTTGCTTTGCAAAGCTTTAAGATAAGTCTTTTCTAAGCTTAGAAGAGGGATGGTCTTTAAACTTGCATTAAAATATCTGTTTTGTTACTTGTCGCTGTTATTGTACTGTAAGCCATTCGCATTGTAAGGAACTGCATGATTGCCCAAGGTAAAAAGCATGCTGTGTCCTACCTACTGTTTACCGTATTTACCGCACACCAGTTTGGCCATGTCAGTCAGTAGGGCCTGTTGGGAACTTGCCTGGTCAGGAATGAGTGAGATACTCCCTTTACTTAAGGAGTTTTGTGCTCCAGGCTTAGTTACTATTTGCGTAGATTTAGACTCAGTATTTGACCTCCCTGATTTTAGGTGTTTGCTAAACAGTGGTAACCCAGTGTCTGGAAACCTGGGCTCAGGATGAAGTTGCGCAGGGAAATATTTAGGGAGACATTTACAGGTCTGTGTGGCATTCTCCTCTGATCTCTTTACTTGCTACACCTCGTAAGAGCGGTTCTTTGACAGTCTGCCTCATCCGCCCAGCCTGGCCTGGCTTCACGCCCTTGTCCCAATGGGGCAGTCCCTAAGTACGAGTATTTGTTTGGAGGCTTTCCACTCAGGTGCCAAGTGGTGCATAGAGAGCGAGCCACAGTCTTAGGTTGAAGGACAAATATTTCCTCATGTGTGATCCTGTGTTACCACTTCTAGAGGGGTACTGGGGGCGCTTGGTCCCGTGTAGGCATGAGGAGCAGGGAGTGGCAGCAGTGACACCTCCATGCTGCTTCAAAGCACATGCTGTAGCTGTTGGGCTCTTTCTTCCTCCAGCCTCTGCTTCGTCCCATCTTCATCATTTCTAAAGAATTGGCGGAAAGTAGTGAATAACAGTGCAACGGATGTTTATAGGAAAAACGTTTGACTAGTCAGCTGACTTGGGGGGTAATCAAGGGAGTGAACCATTGAGGGAGTTTGCCAGGAGATGAATCCAAGTAGAAAACCAAACAACCATTAGTTTTCAGCCTGCTTTTTGATCTTGTCTTCCTGCAGACTGAAGATCACAGCACACTCCAAGGCCCGACACAGGGTACAGGGTAGTGGGAAGCCACAGAATGCGTGTGACGCGGGATCTTCACGCCAGAGCCGTGGGGGGTGAGGGGAGCTTGGGAACTTGCCCATTATTCTCAGCTTTTAGCCAGCGTTAAACAGACTGATGGGTCTGGTAGCCAACAACTTGGCAACTTCCACGCCTTCTCACCTCGTGAGATTAAGGGCTGTGAAGAGAAATCTAGTCTAACTCCAACAGAAATCTGTCTCTGTTAAGTGTTTTACCTTCTGTAAGTGAAGATGGCAGAGCCAAGATTTTTCTTCTGGTAATTTCCCTGGCTGTAGTCAGACCAGAGGGACGACTGTTCCCCATTACCTTTCTAAAGAATTCCTAGCATTTGAAAACTGATGATAAATAGGAGTTGTCTTTTAACTCCATGCACTTTGGAGTGTTGGATGAATTTGTAAGCAAAATTGGGAATGGGACTTTCCCTGGAAAAGGAAAGTTCTAGAGCTTGGAAAACCACACCTCCAGTTCTCTCTTTTGTCTTCCTCATTGGTTTTTGTCTCCCAGGTTTTTTAAGAATTTTTTTTAAATATCCTTGTTCATCAAGGGCAGAGAGAAGATGAAGCCAAAAGGTTCAGACACTTAAGCCCCTCAGCCCTGCTGCACCTCCTCTGACCAGTCAGCTGGCAAAGCTGGACCCCCAGTGAAAGGCCCCATGGGGAGTCAGCACTTGCTTCCCCGGGGCCTCTGCTGCTGGGTGAGGGCAGTTTGGTCACTTGACTGGCATGCCTACCTGCCTTTGCCCAATTCCCAGCTGCCACAAAATATGCTTATGTTGAGAATAAGGTGGTCTTATATTTGCAGGGCCTGCTTCGGTTTGTTGTACACGGTGGACACTATCCTCACCGTGTTTACGAATAGTGCCCGCTGTGAAACTGCTGTCTGGTGCAGAGTCCTGTAAACCAGGAGACTTCTGAGTAGGGCAGAACAGTCCTCCTAGACTAGAACATGGAGTCTGGTCTCCCAGGTGGGGATATACCTCCCAACTAGTGCACTTCTGAGGCAGCGTCCCTATAAGTCAACTCAGAAGGACTTGGGATTACATCTTGCTTCAGAGTTGAAACAAAATGGGGATCATTTCATACTCTGCATTCTGGACAGGGGGACCCTTGGAACCCACACACTCCATGGGACAAGCTTACAACATTTAAAGCTGATGCAGTGATGTGGTTTAAGGTAGGCTGACAGGAGCTTGTCCTGCTGGCCTCCCACCCCGGCCATTTGATGAGTTTGGTTTTGGACAAATTGAGAAAGTACAGTTAGTGGTGCCTCGGTCCTGTTACTGTGATCTACATATTTTGGGGTTCTTTATTATATTTAGTCTCTTTATGAAAACATAATTGGAGGGGAAAGGAAGAAAGAAAAAGTTGGTTTCCCTCAGGCATCAGCTAATATCTTGTGCTGTCAGCCCTCTGATGTGGCTCGTGGCTGTGCAGGGGGAAGCTGCTGAGCCTGCATCTCCCATTTACCTGTCCAACTGATAGGTTTCATGCAGATACGTGCAGAGGGCTCATGAGCTTGCTTTGCCAGCTGCAGCCAGGCTTTTGGGAGAAAGTGTTTTCTTCCATTTTTATAAAGTTCTGAGTTATGAAAACTCAGAAACTGCCTGGTCCATGAAAGTGCTAGAAATAAGATCACCTAGCTTTGCTGTTTGCTGTCCAGAGCTCTCAGGCTCTGGCTCCTGGCCCTGGAGCCACCCAGCACTCCACGCTCTCAGCCCTGGGGTGGGAACAAGGTTAACATTGTTCTTTCCTGCTTCACAGAAGTAGGCTTTGAGAGCCTGTCACTGAGTGATGATTGTAAGCCTGCAGTTAAGGTCCATTCTAGAGAAGCTGATGTCCTAAGCCTTGGGTTAGTGGAGTATCCATGTCATGTCTGTGAAGGGTAAGGAGAGGTCCCCTAGGAAGCTGGAACTGCTTGTAAGCACCTTACGATTGTATCCTGAGGTGACCAGGAAACCACCCCTGGAAGGACCAAAGAAAGCAGCTCTAAAACATTGGGAATCCCCTTACCTAAGTGGAAATAGGCTTCCCTGGTTCTTGGTAATCAGAACGAGCGTCACTGGAAGCTAGAGTG